TAGCCACATTGGCACAAAGTACTCAGCCAGAATTCTTTGAATCCGATGATCATTGATGGGTGAGCATGCTGGTATGTCCTGCTTGGTTCCTCCTGAAAGTAGGCAAGGTCAAATCACTATGTATGTATCATGGGCAAAAAGTGTAATGGTTGAACCCTGAATACAACCACTACTCTAACATCCACCAAGCAGAGATCTCTGGTTTTTCAATGGTGAAACAGGCCACCTTTCTTTGATACACAATACTAAACTTTTGATGGCAACCAGACCATAGCCAATCCTGGTATATCTCAATAGGATATGGAAATATAGAACTCTCCAATGTTTCTTCCACTCTGAAACTGGGAATACTTATTTAAATTGATCATATTCCTGCATTTGAGCGACTTCCTGTTTTGTCAATTTTTCTTCTGTTTTGCTTTTACAACACCAGAGGGCACTCAGCTTGTACTTAAAAGTAGCAGAGATTGCAATAGCAGAAACCATGAAGGGCATGGAAGCAGTAAAGGGTGCTTTATTTAGTTATAGATCATTAACAGCCATGGAAGTTCAATGGACCTAATTTACAAATTGTTCTGCAATTGTTCATCACAGTACCAGTTTCAGGCATTTGTAATAGGAAAATGACAGGACTGAATTGATGGTGCTTGATGCTGGCAGGGAAATATAATTGCTCAAGCAGACATAAATAGAAACAAAACAGAAGCTTGTGCATTATGTGTGGAGAAGCCCATAATGCAGGAGTGCCTAACTCTATAAACCACCTTTACCTTCAATCTTTGTTTTTAGTCTCTGAACTTTTATGCTACAGCACTATGGATGCCTATTCAGTGATGATTGTACATCACCTGAAACTTTAAGAAACTGAAACCTTAAGAAATGGGGCTACAAAGTGGAATCCATGACATGCGAGTGTGGAGAAGAGCAAACAACTGACCACCTGCAGTAATGCAACCTGAGCCCTGCCACATGCACAATGGAGGATCTTCTTGTAGCAACACCAGAGGCACTCCAAGTGGCCAGATATTGGTCAAAGGACATTTAACCAACTACCAAGCTTGCAAACTTTGTGTTCTGTTTGTTTGTTTGTTTGTTTGTTAAAAATGCAATGTAACTGTTTGGTCTGCTCCTGACACAATAAAAAAATAACTGAAACTAACTTCCAAGTAACCCAGGATAGAATGCATATCATCATCATCATCATCATCATCATCATTTAATAACTTATTAATCGCCCTCCATCCAAGAATGCTCCAGGCGATTTACAGCTAAATTACAAAAGATAAAATACATACATACAAAAATTAAAAATCAACAGAGATCGAATGCTCTAGTAAAAAGCCAGGTCTTAAGTGCGAGAGTAAAAGGCCCTAAGTCATGCATGGCTCTCATGTAGGGCGGCAAGGAATTCCACAAGGCAGGGGCAGAAATAGAAAAAGCCCTGCATCTGGTCCTTTCCAAGTGCACTTCTCTAGGACCCGGTATATGGAGCTAGTCACGTTGGGCTGGTCGTTGATGGGAGAAGGAGAGGCGGACCCTAAGGTACATATGTGCCATCTAAGAGGCTATAGGGAATTTGGTTTGATATAAGGTCTTTAATGCTTATCTCATCATAAAAATATATTTCCATCACAAGATCTGCTGCATTAACAGGGAAGGAAATTAAATCAAGATCGGAAAAGTTACAGAAATAGTAACAGGATATGAAATCCAATTGTCTTTTCAAGCAATCTCCCTTATAAAGAAAATCTCCTCTTTATGCGAGCCCTAAGCCTCTTTATTTAAGATTTCCATAGCAACTCTATTCAGAGAACTGCTTTAACTACTCTTTCTTGCTTCTAGACAGGTGAACAAATTACAAAAGAAACAAAAAATTCACATTAAAATACTTAAAAGATTGTTTATTGGTAGAAACACCTGAGACATTTCATTATTCTTAAAGGGACTATATCAAAATTATGAAAGGACATCACATAAATACATAATAACCTACTGTACAAAATCATACCACTTGCAATGTGATTTAGAACCGAAATCACAAATTTCTGAAGCAGAAATTATGATCCAATTTACTGCTCAAATGAAAACAGGTGAGCAAAGGCTGAAAGGTTCTTTTATCTTGAAAGCAGACGGTAGAAAAAATATATAGATAACATTCAAGGTCACTTGGCAGTATCAGATTAAAGGAAATCTCTTAAATATTCTGCATTGCAGGAGGCCTTTTAACTAAGACGTGAATGTATTTTTAATCCTCATTAATTTTGTAGAAAGCTTTCATGGCCGGAATCATTGGAGTGTTGTTTGATTTTTGGGCGCTATGACTATGTTACAGCAGCATTTTCTCCTGACATTTCACCTGCATCTGTGGCTGGCAACTTCAGAGGATCCTCTGAAGAAGCCAGTCACAGATCCAGGTAAAACATCAGAAGAAAATGCTGCTAGAACATGGCCATACAGCCCAGAAACCACACAACACTCGATCATCAATGTATTTGAACTGCCTTTTACAACTGTTTTAAATTATGTGTTTGATTGTTTGTAAACTTTTGGATTTTCCATTGCTTCCACTGTATTTTGTTTCAACTTCTTTTCACTGTATTTTGTTTTTCTCAATCATACTGGAATAAATGCAGGATATTAATTAAATGTTTTTCTGGGTCTTGTGTCAAAGGAAGTATCAACATTTCTTTTAAAAAGTGGGTGATTCTGTGATATTACAATCTCGCATCTCTGGTTTGCATGCTGGGCTGGAAAATTACTTCTGGATGAATGCTGACTGAGAAAATTTGTATATTGTTTTGTCCTCATCTATGATCCTTGGCTGGAACCTTTTGTTTATTCTTCCAGTATTCTGCCCTTCTTCCTTCTGCCAGTTTTCTTTATAATTGCCTCAACCAAGACACTCTGTCCCCTAATGCCCTGCAAAACTCAGTGCCTTGGCTTCCTTGATTGAGTTTCTCCATCTGCAATATAGTCTTCCTCTTTTCCTATTGCCTCCCACTTTACAAAATATTATGTTTTGTAACTGGTTATATCATTTCATGATATACCAGGTTATTGCAGCCTCAGTTTGATAATTTTGGCTTCTAGAACAGTCAGGTCCGTAGTCAGGATTTTGTTTCGGGGGGGAGGGGGCTGAGTCTGAGTGAAAGAGGGTCTGCCCTAGCAAACCTTTTGTATCGTTACCCCAATACCCCCATGCATATGGGATATATTGAGCATGGTGATCAGATCATGATATGAATAAACATAACAGTTTAAATAATGTACCAGTAAGGCCTTCTCGCAGACCACCATGAGAATTTCAGGGGGGGGGGGGGGGTGCTGAAGCCCCACGAGCCCCCCCCCCCCCCGGCTACATGCCTGAGAACAGTGGTTCCCAACCTTTTTTTTTGACCAGGGACCACTTTGACCAGGTTTTGGTCAACTTTAGATTTGGTTTGGTTATTTGGGGTGCTGATTCAGAAAATTGCATTGGATAGACCACATCTGCTCTAGTTTCTGATACAGAACATATGTCATCCAGTAGTTGCCATCTGCTCGCCCACAGAATACCATATTTAATAAGCCTCAGCACTATAAGAGGGTTTTGTGAGATCAGTTGCTCTTGTTGCAATGATGTAGGCTGTGAGGCTGCAGACCATATTTTAGTTCTTGCAACCACTAGTGGTCCACGGACCAGAGGTTGGGAACCACTGTTCTAGAGAGAGTTTAGGCCAGAGTTGCTCTAGGACCCATTTATCTGTAGAATTCTCCAGAACCACATTTTAAAATGAGTTCATTCTTGTCCTATTCAACATTTACAATCATACACCAAAACTGGCAATACTGTACCATTTTACACCATATACTTAAATTCACAAAAGAGAGGTCAGAATTCAAATCAGATAAATTCTCATTTGTCATGTATACTTGTATTAGATGGTAATCTAATATGGAATATGTATTATAAATGTACATTGCACAGTGTGGGATCTGACAAACTACTTTTACACGTCCAGGTTTTGGGTTTTTTAAAATCACCTTCCTACTTTAACAGTAGACCTTCTTGTTCTAATTAATGTTGCTTTGGAAACTTCCCTGGATTAAAGAAAACAAAAACAGCTTGCCATGTGTTTTGAGGAGCTTCTGTCTGAGAATTAAAGACTCATGTATTTCTGCTGAAAAATACTAGTTGCCGAATCCTAATGACTAGAATGCAGATATTTAAGCTATGTTGTTGCTAGTAAGCAACTGGAGGCCAGGGCAATTAAATGCTTGTCAAAATCATTTCTAGATAATCTAATTCAACTATTACAAGAACTTTTTTTATTAAATAACAAGTAATCTCAGAAATTTGTCTTAAAATTAATTTCTGAAGAGTTGGGTTAGGAAATGAGGACTAATTAATACAAAAACATTTGAAAAGAACATTTAAAATGCAGTGCTGCATAATACTCAGGATTTTTTATTTTTTTTTGTCGTGTCAGGAGTGACTCCTGGTGTGAGAGAATTGGTCGTTTGCAAGGACGTTGCCCAGGGGACGCCTGGATGATTTGATGTTTTTATCATCCTTGTGGGAGGCTTCTCTCATGTCCCCACATGAGGAGCTGGAGCTGATAGAGGGAGCTCATCCGCCTCTCCCCGGAACCTGCGACCTGTTGGTCTTCAGTCCTGCCGGCACAGGGCGCCACCAGGGGCTCCAATACTCAGGATAAGGCCAGCACTGTCTCAAAATTCAATGCACACAATACAGTACATGTTCATGCTGTAAAGCGGATTTCTGGGGAAAGTAAGAATTAGGGAAGAGGTGTAACTGGTATAGACTGTCATTTCTCCTGCTGGCTTTTAACTGTTTGCATATTTGCCCTCAACTTCTGCTGTTTGCTGACTTTAGAATGTGAGTCTTTTGTCTAAAGTAATGGGCAGAGTTATAACCACGCTTGCATATTCAGAAATGGAAAGTGGCCATTGGTTGTTCATCCAGGTATTTTAGGCCCAAGGTTTCCATATCAACAATACAATGAATCCACTTTTATTACAGATTTGATTCTATCCAAGGTGTTTAACCCCCAAAATAGATTCAGAGCCTCGAATAGATCATCTGGAGTGTGCAGTAAAACCCAGAGTGGATTTACTGCACCACTGACATGGTAAAGCCTCTGACCACCCCTGAGATGGATGAGGATAACCTGACACCGCTTCCCTACTAGTGATTCATTCAGCCTGAAATCTCCATCTTGGGACAAAGTTGAAGTTCAAAGCACAACAGTTGGCTAAATGTTGGATCTGTTTTGTTTCTTCCTTCATTTTTATATGCAGTCAATAGTTGCTGCAGCAGTTTTAGCTCTTTTAAGAAAAGTATTGGCCAACTGTGGCTAGAACAGCTACCTTTTTGTTGCTGTAATGAAGGCAATATCGGCAGCACCATAAAAATATCTATACAAAACCCTGCTGTTTAAGAATGTAAAAAGCCATTTTATGTTGAGTGTGCCCAGTGTATTGAGCCCAACATAGTATTGAGGTGAGAAAAGTGCATTCTTCAATCTTCAGCATTTCTCATAATTGGTTATGTCAACTAAGGAGATGTGAGTTGCAGTTTCACAAAATTAGGAGGGTTGCACTTCGCCCTATCCTGGTATTATCTGATGGACAACTAAATTACTCCCCCAGATCACAGGCAGTGATAACTAAGATTGAAACCAAGACCTCTATCTGCAAAGCATATTCCAAGCTGTATTCACCACTTGGAAAAACTATTTTTTGATTACAGAATCTCAGAATCACTCACAGAGCCTGACCAATATCATCAAGCTATGATTTAAACAGATTTAGATCCATTTTACTAACATACCATAGTCTTGGAATTCAATTTTAGTGACTTAACTCACACTGCCAATTTTTTATCACTAGTATCCCAGTGCACAACCATCAGCTCGAGGATCAGACCCAGCCCAAAATACATTACTAGATGACAGTGTTTTCTGCCTCCACCAGTCTCCTTTGGTGATGACTTGACCTCGTCCAAACATGCTTCGGCTGTGCCCAGTTACAGGAGGCATGACAGTATGACCCATGGCTCTCAGTTCTTCTGAAATATTCTGAGGGATACTTTCTTCCAGGGAGATGGACCATGGATCTATTTTAAAAAAACACAAGAATTTAACTGATATTATGTAATACTGTAGGGTCCCCTGGTAGCGCAGCAGGTTAAAGCATTGAGCTGCTGAACTTGCTGACCAAAAGGTTGGTGGTTCAAATCCAGGGAGCAGGGTGAACTCCTACTGTTAGCCCCAGCTTCTGTCAACCTAGCAGTTTGAAAGCATGCAAATGGGAGTAGATCAATAGGTACCGCTCTGACAGGAAGGTAACTGCACATGACCTTGGAGGTGTCTACGGATAATGCTGGCTCTTCTGCTTAGACATGGAGATGAGCACCACCCCCATAGAGTTGGACATGACTAGACTTAATGTAAGGGGAAACCTTTACCATTACCTTATGCAATACTGTATGCATGACCAACCAGTTTTATCTTGCCCAAAAGACTGAGAATGGAATTAAAGCATAGATAAGAAAAGTACACCCCTCAAAATTGCTATTCAACTACAGTTCCCATCATCCTTAGCTAGAGGAATGCTGGGAGCTGCAGTTCAGCAATGTCCGGAGGACCATACTTTGCCTCCTCTGTTGTTGTTCATTCGTTCAGTCATCTCCGACTCTTTGTGACCTCATGGACCTCCTCTAAGACAGACAATATTGGCTTCAACTCAACATTTCCTCATATACATACTCATGCCTACACTCCACTGAAGCACATGCCACTGCCTAATTTACTATAACACTCTAAGCCATCTCACATGTTTGAGTTATGTTTAATTCTAATGGAGAACATATGCCATTTAGTCTTAAAGTCACATGAGACTGTTTGAGTTCAATTTCACTGATAATCTCAATTATAGCAGAGTCAACATATATAAATCCCATTGATTCAATGGAACGAATCCAGTTGGGAATAAAAGTAGGATTCTAGTCATGGCTGAATTTATTGAACTAGACAACCAATGCTAATCTTATGCAATTGAAGAAATATCAATTTTCGTGTGTTGTTCCTCATTAAAAAAAAATCACCAAAAGAAAGACTGTTTCTTTAGCTTCCCTACATGGGACAAAATACCCAAATATTGGAACAGTGAAAAGAAATCTAACCTTTGAGGATGATGTGTGTGTGTGTGAACCTGTCAGCTTGACCTCAATGATTTATTGCACATATCTCTTATGCTTTGTCTATATGTTCATATTTCAAACCCAATATACTCCCAGAAAAGTAAAATAAAACAAAAACAGAGGAGACAAACAAGCAAATAAAAAAGGATGAGCAACTAGCCATAAGAAGATGGAGCAGTGCAGATCCAGCTATTGTTTTCATTTCAAAGTTCACCGTACTGTTGGAGCTTGTATGTCTATGCAATCAAAACCACTTTTAGTATAACTGTAGGAGAGACAAATAGACTCTGACTTTGAAGTTAATTACCATAAAATCATTATTCAAATCTGGGATGTTAAATCTTTCAAATTAGATTTACACATTGCCGTTTTGCAATGTGTTAAACCCTTGTGCCGGCAGTACTGCTGACCGAAAGGTCGGCGATTCAAATCTAGGGAACGGGGTGAGCTCCAGCTTCTATGCAGGGACATGAGAACAGGCTCCCACAGGATGGTAAAACATCCGGCCATTCCCTGGGCAACGTCCTTGCAGACCGCCAATTCTCTCACACCAGAAGCAACTTGCAGTTTCTCAAGTCATTTCTGACATGAAAAAAGCAGAAATTCATCTGTATTAGTAGAATTATATTGGCAAAATCAGCAGTCCTAGATTATCAAATATTTAACAAACTGCAGGCTTTAGATTTTTCCAAGGTTGTGGTGTTTCTTTGGTATTAGGTGCATTTTTAAATCCTTACCTTTTTTGTTATATTCAAGACAAAAACGAGCAGCATCCAATGCCTCTTGGGGGTTCATCCCAAATTCCAACATATTCAATAGTACCTACTCAAGTAAACAACAACAATGGAATGAGAAAAAAAGAGAAAGGACAGCAAAATCCGTTTCACACTGGAAGTTCACATGATGGTAGCAGTCAATTTATTTAAAAAAATTAAATGTTTTATAGCAATGATGTATTTATTGTAACCATACTGTGTGGTTAGCAGTCTCAGTAAGACAGGTGGCCACATATTTCTTATTTAAGTATTTCCCTAGAGGGTCTCTAAAATATACTGCTGATTCCTTTTCCAAGTGGCCCATTTGGCCTGATCATATGATGTGAGGCCAGCAATGGCTACATAAAAGAATCTTTTCAGTAATGGCAATTCATCCACAGAATGCCATCTTGACAAAGGCTCATCTGACACTTAGATTATGTTTTTTCTAGCTCCAGAAAAGGCCTTTCTTCATCCCGCTGTTTTAGAAACATGTTTGGTGATGGCAAAGAGGACTTGCTGCACTCCAGTAGCTGATGTCTCATGGATCAGTGCCAGTCCTCTGGCCACCACTCTGAATATCATTGACTTAATGAATATGGTCAGCAGGCAATTTAAAAATCAATTACATGCTTGTTTTTTTTGGGGGGGGGGGGACTCTATAAAAGGGAACTGGTAACTTAAACAACTGGAAGTAGGAAATGAGGTAAGAAAAATTAGCTTAGATAATGTAATCTCCTGATAATAGAAAGCCAACCCAATGCATTAATCCTCTTGCAAATGGGTTGTTATAGGTTTTTCGGACCATGCGGCCATGTTCTAAAAGCATCCTCTGAGGATGCCTGCCATAAATGCAGGTGAAATATCAGGAGAGGATGCTTCTAGAACATGGCCATACAGCCCGAAAATTCTACAACAACCCAGTGATTCTGGCCATGAAAGCCTTCGGCAATGCTCTTGCAAATGAATTCAATGCATTCAAATATTCAATTCACATATATATAATAAAACATCACTTAGACCAGTGGTTCTTAACCTGTGGGTCCCCAGGTGTTTTAGCCTACAACTCCCAGAAATCCCAGTGTTAGGATTTCTAGGAGTTGAAGCCCAAAACATCTGGGGATCTACAGATTGAGAACCACTGACTTAGACCATGGTCGTTATATATGTTGGCCAAGAAACTGCAGTTGAGATACGTGTTTTGACAACTGAGCCAAATGTTCATAGAAAGAAAGGTCAAAGTCTGAGTGGTTGAAACCAGATATCAGCATTAAGGAGGGGCCGAAACAAGCAGCAGTGGTGTGCTCATGACTGGCATTTAAGGGGAAGAGCTTAAAATGGTTTCTTCATTCCTGCTATAAATCTAGTGGTTCATATCTCCTTTGTGGGTAAAGCTGGCATATCTGTGAAAATATTTCATGGGTGTATTTGCTTTACCTGGTAAAATCCTCTCATGTACATTTGCTAATCATTATTTTTGTAGCTGCTTCAAAGATTGTTTTAACTGCTATCAAACTGGCTTCAACCTATGAATGGGAGATCTCCAATCACAGCTCAGATTTTGCGAATGTAGGCCTGTGGCTTCCTTGATTTAAGTCTTTGCACCTGTAATTAATTTGATCTTCCACTTTTCTTCCTGACGTTTATTTTTCTGGTGGCGCAATGGGTCAGCAGTTCAAATCCGGGGAGAGTGGGTTGAGCTCCCTCTGTCAGCTCCAGCTCCCCATGCGGGGACATGAGAGAAGCCTCCCACAAGGATGGTAAAACATCAAAAAAACATCTGGGCATCCCCTGGGCAACATCCTTGCAGACGGCCAATTCTCTCACACAAGAGGCAACGTGCAGTTTCTCAAGTCACTCCTGACATGAAAAAAAACTCTTTTCCAAGCACTGCTATCTTTTTAATGAGATGAGACATCCCATAGTAATGAGATGAGACATCTCACAATCCCAGTTTAGTTAACTTGGCTTTCAAGGAGAACTCAAACTTTATTTGCTCCATTGCTTATTTATTTGTCTTTTTAGCAACCCACAGTATTGATAGAACTGGTCTCCAGCATCATATAACAAATGAGATTATTTTCTTACTAGGTTTCTTCACTGCCTGGCTTTCACAACCACATATAAAAATTCAAAATAATGGCATGAAAAATCCTGATTTAAATATCTCATTATATTTCTTTACACTTGAGGACCTTGTCTAGTTCCTTCGTAACTGCTCAAGTCCTAGTCCTCTTCTGATTTCTTGACTACAGTCCCAATTCAAAGACATGATAGACATTTCATCAGCCAAGTATGGATGAAAAAGGCATACCAGGACGAGCAATTGTAGCACCAGCCAATTTCCATACCCATGCCACTACATATTCAACAACTTATAAGTGATGTCATTTCTGTTTTTTGTTTTGTTTTGTTTTTTGGAATTGTTTTCAGGCAAGCATTTGCTGATTGTTTTTAACTGCAGGATCAAAATCTACATTTGGGCACACAAACACTTCCAAGTACTAGGTAAAGAAAAAATATGATTGTGACGCACCAGTCGGTCTGCAGGGAATCTTCTAGAGGGTTTTCAAATGACAGGCTGGGGAAGAAAGCAAAGATCCTTCCACGAAGGGTAATAGCTCACCTGTACATGTCCTTGAGGTTGCATGAATCCACCCATTACTCCAAAGGAGCACAGGAGCTCCCCTGAATCTGCATCCGTAGCCAAAGCAGGTATAATTGTGTGATACGGCCGTTTCTTGGGTGCCAGGCAGTTTGGATGATCAGGCTGTAGGGAAAAATTGGCTCCTCTATTCTGAAAATCAGAAATTACAAAGAATAACAAAGCTTTAATACCAACATAGTTGAATGGATAATTTACCAATACTTTACCTATTTTTTCAGCACTAAAATATGCAAAATAAACCCACCAATAAGGTTCAATCAGGTTCAAGCAGCTAATCAACAACCTTAGAATAATTCACTAAGGCATTTATGGATAAGATAAATTTAGATTTCTCTTATCCAAATCTCTCTTATGGATAAGATTAATTTATGTGCCATTTCTGTACTGCAGAGTTTAAGGATGTGGAAGGCCAAAGCTTCCCTCCCAGTGTACGTATTAAAAAACAACTGGACAAAAGAAAACTCTCTAGCCAGTTCTCTTTGGCATAGATTATTCCAACCTATCTGAGATCCAGCAGCTAATATTTATTTATTATTTATTTAATTACTTCATTTATATCCCATCCTTCTCAACACCGCAGAGGACTCAGGGTGACTTATTTAAAAAGGCACAATTTGATGCCACTTTTACATAAGATAAAACAAAACATATACATTAAAATCAATAATTAAAAACACATAATCTTAAAAACAGTTCTATTAAAAACTACATAGTCCAAAGGCATAATCCATGAGCTATTCCATAAATTGCACTATTCCATCGTCACTTGTTTTGCAGATCACATGACTGCATTGCAGATTACTGTTCAAAGGCTTGGTCCCACAAACATGTCTTCACTTTCTTTCTGAAGGACAGGAGGGAGGGAGCTGAACTGATTTCACTGGGGAGGGACTTCCATAGCTGAGGGATCACCACTGAGAAGGCCCTGTCACTCATCCCCACCAATCGCATCCGCAAAGAACCTGAGACCAAGACCAGGACCTCCCCAGAAGATCTTAACCTCCGAGATGGTTCATACAGGGAGATGCATTTGGACAGGTAAGCTGGGCCGGAATTGTTTAGGGCTTTATAGGCTAAAGCCAGCACTTTGAATTGGGCTTTGAATTGACCAGCAGATACTTGAAGTGCTGGTCCCAAAATATAACTTTCTATAATTACGCCACAATATGGTGGCATGTGTATTTTGGAATTCCTTTGTTCTCCATTTAAGTAATTCTGTTCTTTGGAGATTCTACCTAATGTAATATTATCTGACTGACAATAGCATTTTTTTTCCCTTTAAAAAATCTGTATTTAGGTTTGGTTGTTAGCTGTTAACAATATTTAGTTTGATGTTAATTGCTATATTTATCTCCCAGTATCCTGCATAGTATTGGGCTGTGTGGCAGGGAGCAGGAGACTGCAAAGAAAGGACATAAGGGTGAAATTAATTCTTAAGCAAGCATACCCTTTCAAACCATCCCACAGCACAGAAATAAACACACTTGGCCACATTTCCTATATTTACCATGTGACTTAAAATTTTCCATAATCTGATATAAGTAAATATGAATGAAATTTTAAAAGAGGCACCGGGAGTGTCAGCTGCATTAAGATCACTCTGACCGAAAGGTCATGAGTTCGAAGCCAGCCCGGGTTGGAGTGGGTTTCCAACCATTGTGTAGCCCATTGTCAACCTTTACAACCTGAAAGACAATTTCATCTGTCAAGTAGGAAAATAAGGTACCACCTTAAAAGTGTGGGGAGGCTAAAAATAACTAATTTATGAGGCCATAAAGAAGAACTCCAGCGGGGAAGTAGGCGAGGAATGCGGAAGGTACTTCATCAGTGTCGCAGATGGACGATGAAAGCGACAGCTCCCCTGGTGGCCAGAAAAAGTTAAATAGTCTCTGTGTATGTCTTGTATATGTTGTACGTCAAAATTGGCACTGAATGTTTGCCATATATGTGTACACTGTAATCCGCCCTGAGTCCCCTGCGGGTGAGAAGGGTGGAATATAAAAGCTGTAAATAAATAAATAAATAATAAATAAAAACCAGTCAAGACATAAACTACCAATATAACTCTGCATAGTGCTATATATGAAGTTGAGTGGGAGGGAACCTTTAGCCCACAGGATTGATCTGACTTGCCAGCATCCCCAGTCCATTTTGTTATGTTTCTCAGTCATCTTGTCTCCCCTTACAGGAGTGGATTTCACTGACCTTGGAGCTGCTGCTAGCATACTAGTGCACAATTCAGTTGTCCTACCACAAACATTAAATGAAGATTAAATCGCTGCTCTATTTGACTTTTGTATATGATTTGGTAAGGAGCAGAGTGCTGTCTTATCCTTCACTTTCAGACAGCAAAAATATCTTGGGTCAACTCTCCACATACAAGCAGAAGCACACATTATGTTTTCTCACTTGTAATGTAAATCCACAGCCTTCTGGTACCAGCCCTGTGCCAAATCCCATATAGTTGCTGTTGATGAAAGAGCAGGCACTGCCTTGGGCATCCACCACTGTAAAGTAAACTGTGTCACTTCCAACTGGGAAAGGATTCCCATGATGATGTTTGGCAGTTGCTCTGGAAAAGAGAACACCAAGAACCCAACAACTTAAAAAGGGGGATTAAACCAAAACTTCTGATTTCTAGTCATAGTTCATAAACTTTGTCCAAAATAATGGTTAAAATCTAGTAAATTTCAGTGTCTTATTGCCAGCTTATAGAGATAAAGTGTCCCTTATCCAGAATTCTGAAAAGCAAAATATTCTGGAATCCAAAACTGTTTACATCATTGGTCTGGCCCTGATTTTATTGTGTAATACTGTAATGTTTTGTTGTGTTATTGCTTATGTTTTAATTTGCTTGCATCGTTATTGTTTGTTGTTGTTATGTTGAGGCCTTGGCCTTTGTAAGCTGCATCGAGTCCTTCGGGAGATGCTAGCGGGGTACAAATAAAGTTTAATAATAATAATAATAATAATAATAATAATAATAATAATAATAATACATGGGTGGCTGAGATAGTGACAACTTTGCTTTCTGATGGTTCTGTGCACACAAACCTTTTTTCATGTGCAAAATTGTTAAAAATATTGTATAAAACTGCCTTCAGGCTATGCATATAAGGTGTTTATGAAACATAAATTAATATTGTGATCAGTCTCGCGTTCCATCACTCAAAGATTATGTACCTACATGCAAATGCAGGTATTCCAAAATAAAATAAAAACTGAAAAACCAGCACATTTCTTCTTGTGCATTTTGGATAAGGAATGCTCAACTTGTATTTGTTTTGTCAAAAAGAGTCCTTTTACCATTTTTTTCCTGCAAAATATTCATTTGTGTTGTCCCTAAACAATACTGATGGAAAACAAAATGTTGGTGGACAGGAAAAGAAATTTAAAGATGGGCTTAAAGCCAGCCTTAAAAACTGTGACATAGACAATGATAACTGGGAAGCCCTGGCCCTTGAGCACTCTAACTAGAGGTCAACTGTGACTAGCAGTGCTGCAGAATTCGAAGAGGCATGAATGGAGGGCAAAAGGGAGAAACGTGCCAAGAGGAAGGTGTGTCAAGACAACCCTGATTGGGATCTCCTTCTACCTGGAAACCGATGCCCTCACTGTGAAAGAACATGCGGATCAAGAATAGGGGTCCATAGTCACCTACATATGCACTGCCCAGACACTACACTTGAAAGGCCATTATACTCAGACAACGAGGGAATCACCTAAGTAAGTAAACAAGCAAGTACTGATGGTGGTGAACATATCGGAGATCAGTGAAAATCTGTTGAGTATTCCGACAACAAAGACACAATGGAATCTTTATAGGGATTATATATTATATAGACTTCTCATTCCTGTCATAGACTCATATACAGGGATTAAATTAGTGGGAAGCAAAAGTGGAAATAACCTATCTGTTTACATGTCAAAGAACTCATTACAGGTGGATAGCTGCTGTCCCTAAGACATATTTAACTCTTTAAGTGAAGAGTGTTATTACATGTCTAAAACTCCCATTTCAAATCAGGATTTTAAGTTGTTTTTTCTTCCAAAAAGTGGCTTTCAAACATTTTAGACTTGATTATCATAATGTGTAATTTCATTTTCAATGACTTTGAATGTGGTAGCGTTCACTGTTGTTTTATTTGCAGAATAGAAATAATAGTTTCTCCCCAAAGTATTCCTTCCTAATTCACTATGATCAGCTAATGCAGCCTGAAAAATAGGAAATAAAGTATCACAGAAGGTTAAAAAAACGATACAGTGAAGAATAAAGTTGAAAAGTCTCCCATTTATGATGAACAGGTAATCACCAGATTAAAAAAGAAAGGCTTCCATTGTGTATTTTGCGAGGTTAAAGCCAAACATAGCACTGCCAGAAAATTTAAGTAAATACTTTTATCTAAAGTACACAATGGCAAGCTAACACATATTGGTATTTTCCAAAGCACACACATTGTCAGATACAACCTTTTATACCCAACGGTCACACGGGGTTTTCAAGACCTATTATCTTTATACATATTATGGCTGAGGGTAAAATATTCAAATATCTCTCTGGTGAAGGCACAATGGTCAGTTTGACACTTGACTAGATTCCTTTATGTTTTGCCATAAACATAAAGACTCATTTAAGTTTTAAATGTGTATGGGTCTCGGAAACGATTCCAGCAAAGAAGCACACCACAGAAAATGTTACACTGGAACAAAAGATTAATATGTGGAACATTACAATTACTGACAGCTCTGTTAGCAGATTTTCTCAAAAAGGCTACACTGACCTTTTCTCATTCCAGGGATATATTTAGTATTCTGCTCTCTTTCCATCAGCAATGTTAAGCAATGAGTGGAATCACTAAAATACCTGAGCATCTGGAGATGCTCAGGTGAACATCAAAAGCCCTACATGACTTGGGTTCAAGCCACCACATTTTCCCATAGGAACTTGACCAGACCCTGGGATTCCTGGCATGGCTCTTCTTTATGGCCCATCAACCCCAGAGATACATCTGTTGAAAACACATTTGGTGAAAACAAGGGAGATGCCTTTTTGTTGGCTATTCCCAAGCTCTGTAACTCCCTTTCTAAGGAAAGCTAGACTATCTCACTTCCTGTTTATTTTAGTAAGTAACTAAATATGTTATTGTTGATGCAATATTTATGAGTTCTGTTCCACCTTTTCTACAATTTGGGACTCAAAGCGGTGTCACAACCAATAAAAAATCCACAAGTTAAAAAAGTTAAAATGAGATTCAACAATCCAAAGATTAAAGCCAGAGTAAAACGTATATCACTAAAACATATGCACACACTAGTAAAACATGCAAGAGTTATCACATTATTTTGGGACAAGAAGGATACACAGGGGAGGAGGTTATGATTTTAACTGAAATGTGGGATTTTATTTATTGTTGTTTCATCATGGTTTTGTCTATTTTGTTCTCCTGATTTTAATGTTTGTATTCTGTTTGTAAGCTTCATTGGGTCCGTGTTGTGGAGAAAGGCAGGATAGAAATATCCTAAATAAATAAGATACGTATTGTTGTCATTGTTGTTACTATATAATAGGCTTTGGGGAACTACTATACTTGTGTATAAGTTGACCTCGTGTATAAGTTATGTATAAGTCAAAGGCAGGTTTGGGGCCAAAGTTAATGTCAAGGGTTATTCAATGGTTAGACAAAAACAGTAGCTGGGTTATTGTAGGTTTTTTTGGACTATATGACCATATTCTAGAGGCATGGCCATATAGCCCGAAAAAACCTACAACAACCCAGTGATTCCGGCCATGAAAGCCTTTGACAATACAAAAACAGTAGCATCATCTCAGGAAACCAGCATCTTTTAGGTTCCCTTGAGATAAACTTTTTGTGTGTGTCAGGAGCGACTTGACAAACTGCACATCGCTTCTGGTGTGACAGAATTGGCCGTCTGCAAGGATGTTGTCCAGGGGATGCCCAGATGTTTTACCATCCTGTGGAGGCTTCTCTCATGTCCCTGCATGGAATACTGAAGCTGACAGATGGGAGCTCAACCTACTCCCCGGATTTGAACCACTGACCTTTCGGTCAGCCGTCCTAAGGAGTGCCACAGGGGGCGCTTTAGAAGGGACAAATTAAGCTTTTGCCTTTTTGCACTTTACACAGAGACAGTGACAATTTCTTTTACTTAAGGTAAAATGCTTACTTTAACCAGTGGATAAGTCGACACACTCTTTTACTTTGCTTCTCCAGGTGCTTTGGACTTCAAAAAGTCGAAGTTGAAAGTCCAAAAAACACCTGGAAGGCCAAAGTTTGCCAATGCCTGGTATATAGGGTAATTGACTATTTTTAAGCAAAGGACTCTTAATATAAACTGCTGTATATTTTTGTAAAGATGTGTTGTAGATCACTTTTAAAGTTACATGGAACATGATTACATTTTAACAACAACATTTTGTATGTATCTGTTTTGTTGTTGTTTTTAACAGTATCTTTTTAAACTTTGTAATCTGCCTTGAGGAAATGGGGGATAGAAATTAAATAATAAATAATAGAGATAATTAACAATATAAGAAATCAACCTCCCTTCCAACTTACATAACCGAAGACAGAATATGCTCAATGACTATATAGAATGTCAAGCATTGATTAGAAAAAAGAAAAAACCCGAGTGGTTAGCATGATAGTCAGAGGAGTGAAACTCTGAATAGAAGGACATCTGTGTGATACCACTGTTTTATTGCCATTTCTGCGTCAAAGAGGGTGTGCTAATCAGAAGCATTTATTCCCTTCAGTTTTTCTTCCTCACCTCATATATACACACACTCACCATACTCATAAAATGCAAAAGCATTGTGCTATTTTTAGCAGGCTTTCCTGCAATCATTTATTGTTTAGCAATTTAAGAATGATATCATATGAAAAATATCATAAGATACAGTCCAAAGAATGATGCAACTACAGTATATTCTGGCGTATAAGACTACTTTTTAACCCAAGAAAATCTTCTCAAAAGTCAGGGGTCGTCTTATACGCGGGTGTAGTCTTATGTCTGGGAGTCGTCTTAACTCTATATTTTAACTGGAAAAGTTGGGGGTCGTCTTATACGCCCAGTCGTCTTATATGCCGGAATATACGGTACTTCTGTGTGCCTATGAGAGTTTGTGCTTTTATCAACCAAGCAACAGACCTTCCCATTCCACCAAAACTCCCTTGAAATTGTGGGGACTTTTGAAAGCAATGAGTGTTATTACCGAACAACATGGGATTTAAATAAATATATCAATAATTTTGGTGGACAGGCCCAAGTGTCTAATGTCCATATTAGACCGTGGCCACAGCAAATAAAATAGGGCTGATTTTTTTAAAAAAGAAGTGAGCTTACCTTTGTAAATCGATTAGCTTTGAACGGTGATTGGCATAAGATTTTAAAAGGAGCTTTTCTGTAGGTACTGATACTTTTTCTGGATCTGCACAGAACCACAAAGTATCAGCAAAGCTGATTTTGAGGGCTTCAGTTAGAGTATGTAAGTATTGAGCAGTATTATGACCCATTTCTACAAAAAGAAACACAACACAGCATGAGTTACCAAATCAAATCGAAAAGCACCATTAACTTCCATAAAAACTCAGGTACGTACACCCGTTATTAATTATATTTTACAATGTATACCATATCAGTTCACTTTGACACACAAAAGTGTTTCTCACTCCTGCAGGAGAAAGATATGTTGGAATAAAGAGAGACAGGCCATCACTGAAATGGTTGACAGAAAAAAGGAGAACGTTTCTGTGCCTTTCGTGGTTGTACAGAAAATATAATTTCTTGGACTGGATGGCTCACAAAGTCTCTTCCAATTCTATGATTCCCGAGAAATCTGGTTGCATGACAAGTAGCATTTGCTGAAATTCCCTTTTATTTTCACCTGCTTCAGGTTATGGTGCTCTTGTATATGAGCTTAATATATACTTAGAATGAACCTTACTGAATTCAATGGAACTTATTCAAGCAAAAATTGCTAAACAGACTAAAAGATTCTTCAGAAAGGTTGTTTTTGCAGAACGAACAGGAATCAAAGATTTTACACTTCCTGCGCCTATCTATTGGAGCCCCCGGCTGTGCAATGGGTTAAACCCTTGTGCCAGCAGGACTGTTGACTGACAGGTCAGCAATTTGAATCCGGGGAGAGTGGGTTGAGCTCCCTCTGTCAGCTCCAGCTCCCCATGTGGGGACGTAAGAGAACCTCCCACAAGCATGCTAAAACAGCAAACATCCAGGTGTCCCCTGGGCGATGTCCTTGCAGACAGCCAATTCTCTCACACTAGAAGTGACTTGCAGTTTCTCAAGTTGCTCCTGACATGAAAAAAAGCCCTTCCTATTAATTCTGCCATGTCAGAAACATCCGTAAAATTGAGCATTTTAGATATATAACATGTTTTTTTTAAAAAAACCTAGTGAACTGACAATCTTTTTCACTCCTCAAGCTTGGCTTGGCTGGATTTTTTTTCAATTTCTTCAAAAACGGAAGTGCTTTATGTTTTTCTTCCTATCCTTAGCAAAAAGTAATAAGGAAATAATAATCAAAAGCTGGTTGTACCTTTCACGTTGAAGTTCTCTAAAATGTTTAGGGCTAGTAGAGCTGTGATTCCTTGTCCATTTGGAGGAATTTCCCAAACTTTCACACTCTGAAAAAAATAAATCTGCATCACCTTTCATTGAACACCAAATATATAATAAAGTAAATAGAAACTTTCATATATCAAGACCACATGGAATGTTGCCGATTAGATTCTGTTTCAATATAATATATATTCAAATTATCACAATGGAATATAAACAGTGTATTTGGCTTTGTCATATAAATTTTCATATATTTTCATCTCAACTAGATTAAGAATGTTGACTCCATTTGGACTGCTGTGAGTTTTCCATGATGTATGTCCATGTTCCAGAAGCATTTTCTCCTGACATTTCGCCTGCATCTATGTAAGGCATCCTCAGAGGTTGTGAGATCTATTGAAAACTAGGCAAGTGGGGTTTATATATTTATGGGTGGTCCAGGGTGGGAGAAAGAACTCTTGTCTGTTTGAGGCAAGTGTGAATGTTGCAATTGGCCATCTTGATTAGCATTAAACAGCCTTGCAGCTTCAAAACCTGGCTGCTTACTGCCTTTTTTGGGATGTATTAGCTGGTCCTGATTGTTTCCTGTCTGGAATTCCAGTTTCTGAGTGTTGTTCTTTATTTACTGGGGAAATCCAGACAGGAAACAATCAGGGCCAGCTAACACCTCCCAATAAAGGATTTTAACAGAAAAGAGGAAACCATGAAAGTAAAAAAAAATGGCTACCTCTAAAATCAGGACAGTAAACAAAGAAGCAACACTCAGAAAACAAGAGAAATCCAGACAGGAAACTATCAGGGCCATCTAATAGCTCCCAACAAAGGATTCCCCCAGACAGGAAGAAGTCAGCTTTGAAGCTGCAAGACCATTCAATGCTAATCAAGGTTGCCTTTCCTGCACCCTCTAAAATAAATTTGTACCCTCAAAAATGGTGGTGGACACCATGCCACCACCAGTTTTGCATTAAGATTCAACTATCATTCTTAATCATTTTCCATATTCCAGATGAGAGATCATGGTATCCTTTGCCTTAGGCACAACCAAATTCCTTCAAATATATATACATCATTATTTTGAAAGGTAGTATGGTATAGTGGTATGAGTGATGGATTTATACTTTGGAGATCAAGGTCCAAATTGCTGTGCAGCCATGGAAAACCACTCCCTCATCCACAGAAGATGGCAATGGCAAGCTGCCTCTGAATAAATTTTATCAAAAAAAGCCTTATGATAGATTACCTTTAGGGTTGCTATAAATTGGAAATGACCTAGAGAATTTTGGATGTACAGCAACCTATTATTTTAAGGAGCAAACAACACAATCTGTGTTAAATTTCAAAGGTCTTGTGTTAATGGGAAGTGTGGCCCAGAAAGAAGGTTAAAGTTTTCCAGCAATTTTTCCAGCTGTACAAAAAATACATAAATGAAAGAACAAAGGTTACAGGACAAATAGGGGGAGGGAACCCCATGAATGACCTGGCAAGGAAATATGCCCCCCCTTCAAATCTTGGCTGTGTGACTGGAAAGTACAGCTTTGAAGTATAAAGAGAAACACATTGAGTAATAAAGCTTTCCCATTTATGGAAAATTCTGTAAAAACACCAAAGTCCTACAAAATATATCCCTAATTCTTCCAATACTCCTTTGAGTCCAATTCAGTTCTATGTCTGGAGATGTATCCAGTTTTATCTATGTGCAATTTGACCTAAATGCTTGGTTATTTGACCAAATGCTCAGATTTTTCTTGTGTTAAAAGCTCTTTCAGAGCCTCTGAAAATAGGACAGAATATTGTGGGTCATGGTGTCCTAGCCATGGAAGCTCTTATAAGGGCCGATGGAGCCCAAAACACATTGTTGCCTGAGACAAAGAACAAGATGGCATCCACTCCCACAAACAGAAGCCAATTGGATTGGCAGTTGAATGTCATTTCAAGACTGGCAATGGGATAGAAACTTTCCATACTTGGAAAAAAAAAAAAACAGGTTACCTTCGCAATGAAGCAGGCTCCATGGCATGCATAGCTCAAAAACCTCACTGCTTCTCCTTTCCTTCCAACATCTCTTGATTGATATGTCTGCCTCATTCTGCCCAAAGGCCAAGCCTCTATGCCTATTTTTGGAAGGTGGCACATATTTTGTAGGCAGTGTTTCTGAAGATTAATTTCATTGTAATTTCCACAGTTAAATAAAACTTTCCCTGTTTTTGTAAACTCCTTTGAGTCAACATGTAATGACTCAAGAATACCTTGCATACTTTTCTACTATGTTCTATGAGAGAGGGGGAGGGGAGCCATCCCTGTGATTTATAAGCCCACCAACAGTCCAAAACTAGCATGATATATCAGACTAAGAGAATATTAGAAGCATGATATGAAGGGGTACAAATGGATACAGACAGGCACTTCAGTCCTGGCTCAGAAATAAAGTCAAGCCTTTTCTCCAAAACTCTTAAAATAGTTCAAATTATTCCAGACCAAGACAAATTCAGAATGAAATATGGTAATCCTGTGCTTACATATATTGCCATCTCACACCCGGATAGCCAGCCTCCCCACCCTTTCTCTTTTACATTTGATTTACTAGTGAATGACAACACTTAGTGTTGCCACTACTCCATCTCTAAGAGAAGTCTATCCTTCTCTGGAAGCAATCCCCAGTGGCTCTAGGAACTTTTTATTCTTTTCAAGCATATCAGCCTATGCTGAAATAACTTTCAAGTGGAGAAGGAAGATATAAACATCTGGTGACCTATACCTGCATTTAGGAAAAATAAATACTGCCTAAATTAATAAAATTTGAGTCCCGAGTCAGGGGCGGCTCAACCCATTACGCAAAGTAAGCATTTGCAGTATAGTTGATTTTGCCCAGGGGTGCTCTTGAGGCGCTCTTGGGGGAAAATAGACCTTGACATATGTGAGTTGTAGTTACTGGGATGTATAGTTCACCTACAATCAAAGAGCATTCTGAACTCCACCAATGATGGAATTGAACCAAATATGGCACACAAAACTCCCATGACGAACAGAAAATATATATCAGTGATTGGTGGGGACGACGACCAAAATACTGTTTGCTTACCATTGAAAATTACCTAGGGCTGCCTCTGCTCCCAGTGGAGCAATGGATTAAACCCTTCATTATTTTTGAAATACTGAAAATACTGAATACTGCCATACCTTATAACTTGTGGCAATAGGTTTGACTTCTTCAGTGACATGGCTTTTCAGATCTTCTAAATCCAACACTCCTCCATTACTCTGCACTATGTCCACAACAGCTTTGGCCACACGGCCTTCATAGAAGCCTTTTTTGCCAGATTTTGCCAACTCCTGGAAAAATAATAAGACTTTCAGAACCAAAAGAATAGGACTGTGATGCCCTACAAGACATGTCTATATGGAATATTGCCCATCACATTTTAGAGCTAAACTAAAATGTAGACATCAAATATTTTCTTGCCACATTTTACACTTCACTTGTGCCAATCTCATGCATTCCATAGCCTTAAATATTATTTGGTATTCCTGGAAATTCTTTCTATGTGTGCAAAACATTATATTAGCCTTTGACAATACATATTATGCTAACTTTAAGTATATTAAATGTAGACCATGATCTAGCAAGGTATTTGCTTTGAGTTCTGTTGCTTCCACTAGTGAATTTCAGATTTTCTTCTAACCCATTTCCCTCTGCAGTTCTCAATAGTGCCACAAGCTTGTTCCAGAACATGTAAAAGAGGGAGGTGCAACCCTATTTCTGATTCCACTGGCAGAAAGAGTGAAATTCAACAAAGGTTTATCCTGGGCCTTGGCCGTTACTACTACATTTGTAATAGAGTTAAAAAGCAACAGTGAACTGCCACTTTAATACCACAATTAAAGAAATAGCTACAAAACTCAAAGAATGTGAAAAGTTGCTTATTATTGTTATTATTATTATTATTATTATTATTATTATTATTATTATCTTACACACCTCTCCTCATTGTTCGATACGGGTTACAAAGCAATTAAAATAATAATAATAATAATAATAATAACAACAACAACAACAACAGCAACAACAACAATGATAATGATAATAATAATAATAATAATAATAATAATAATAATAATACACTTTATTTATATTCTGCCCTTCTCCCCTAGGGGACTCAGGGCAGATTACAGCATTTATACACATAGGCAAACATTCAGTGCCTTTACAATCATATACAATAAAACACACATGCAAACAAAGGCAGAGGCTTCTCCTTTCATTTCTGGCTTCTGCAGTCAGTGCTCATCTCTGGCTCTGGTGAGGTGTTTTCTCCATTTTCAAGCAGAGGAGCCTGAGTTGTCACCTCCTGTTTATGTGACCAGCAAGATTGCTTGGAGAGTCTCTTTGCCTTTTCCTGCCGAAGTGGTACTTATTTATCTACTTACATTTGCATGTTTTCTAACTGCTAGGTTGGCAGAAGCTGGGGCTAACAGTGGGAGCTCACTCCACTCCCCGGATTCGAATCTGCGACCTTTCAGTCAGTGAGCTCAGCAGCTCAGCAGTTTAACCCACTGTACCACAGGGGTTCTGACTGGCTTATTACTGACCCAAAATTCAACAGCCACCCAATTCTCATATGATTTGTTCTTTCACATATGTACAAAATATACTTGGGAATAGAGCCAGGAACTGGAACTGACAGACAGATGGGAGCGCACATCATTTTCACAGATTTGAACAGCCAACTTTCAGGTCAGCAGGTCAGCAGCACAAGGGTTTAACCCAGTGGTTCTCAACCTGTGGGTCCCCAGGTGTTTTGGCCTACAACTCCCAGAAATCCCAGCCAGTTTACTAGCTGTTAGGATTTCTGGGAGTTGAAGGCTAAAACATCTGGGGACCCACAGGCTGAGGACCACTGATTTAACCCATTGCACCACCGCACAGCAAAATACACACACCAAAACGTACCTCCATAAAAATTACACACCAAAACATTTATCTACAAAATACATACTAAAACACACAAAACAGAGATCAAACAAAGTAGTCTTAAATTAATGTTTAAAGACTGCCTGGATAGGTCTGCCAGAAGAGATAGGTCTTTACATGGTCTTAAAATTCTGACAGCTCATTTAGCTGTCTAAGTTCTTCCGGCAGGTAATTCCACAGTCATTAGGACAGATGATGAAAAGGTCCTCTGGTTACCAGTCAGGTTCTGGCTGGTTGGAGCAGACACCCCCAGAAGACCAAAGTGTGTGGGGCGGATTGTATGGGAGAAGGTGATCCTTTAAATAACCTGGAACCAAACCATGCAGGGCTTTAAAGGACAAAATCAACACCTTGTACTTTGCCCGGAAATTAATTGGCAGCTAATTGAGTGACTTTAGCATAGATGTGATATGCTCACTCCTAGATGTCCCTGTAACCAAACTGGCTGCTGTATTTTGAACTAGCTGGAGTTTCTGAACTTAGTACAAAGGCAATCCAATGTAAGGCACGTTGTAGAAGTTACCAGTGCGTGCACTACCATCTTCAGATCCTCCATACCTAGGAAGGCACCCAGCTGGAGTATCGGCCAAAGCTGATTGGTAGCACTCAACTTATGCACACAACAGGTAACCTGCCTGTGACTCCTGGCTCAATTCCAAGGAAGAGTCATTTCCATATCAGTAATTCAAAGGAGATGGCAATCTCTTGGTACCTGGTACCAACAAGACAAAAGGACATGTGTCATTCCCTATACTTAATCAAATAGTTTACTGTCCTCTGTGTACCAGGTTACCACCTGGCATTAAATTGTTAAATATTAACAAGATGCAATTAGCAAGTCAAGAAAGGTTTATGTGAGATGAAGCATACAGAAGGTATCATTCATCCAATATGTTGACTCTGAAAAGCTACATATTACGAAACACCTGAAGCAAATGTGACATTTGTGTACTTACAAATTTTTTTGAATAATCCTCGTGTTAAATACTTGTGTCTTATTATGATATTCTCTAAGGCCCCTTCTACACTGCCCTATAAAATCCAGATTATCTGTTTTGAACTGGATTACATGGCAGTGGAGATTTATACAATCCAGTTCAACGCAGAAAATCTGGATTATCATCATCCTAAATGGTTTAGTTCTATTTTAATATTTTAGTTTTACTGTTCTTTTAAATTATGAGCTGCATTGAATCCCAATTTTGGGGGCAGAGGAGGAAGAAGTGGGGAGGGGGTTTGGGATACTTAGTACCCCAATGTTAAGGTTGCCACTTAGGCCCCTTCTACATAGAGATCAGATCCTGGGATACAGAGCACTGTAGAACCAACCTAAGTCCTCATGGAGAAATTAAATCACACTGGTTTTGGTGCATCTAATTATGATTAATATTTTTTTTAAAAAAATTGTTGTGTCAGGAGTGACCTGAGAAGCTGCAAATCGCTTCTGGTGTGAGAGAATTGGCCGTCTGCAAGGACATTGCCCAGGGGACGCCTGGATGATTTCATGTTTTATCCTTGTGGGAGGCTTCTCTCATTTCCCCACATGAGGAGCTGGAACTGATAGAGGGAACTCATCCACCTCTCCCTGGATTTGATTAATAATTAATTAATTGTGATTAAATATAGACCCCATTCAGAGTGCACAGAGGGGTTTATATAAGGTCCCTTCTACATAGCATATAATCCTGATTATCAAAACAGATAAATCACAATATCTGCTTTGAACTGGATTATATGAGTCTACACTGCCATATAATTCAGATCAAAGCAGATAATCTGGATTTTATAAGGCAGTGTCGAAGGATCTTTGTCTTTCTTTCTACCTGTCAGATTCCTCCAAAGAATTAATGAAATGCTGCCGGTCCTATGTGCTATTTTTATGTTTGCAATAAAACATATAATTCAGCCTCTTACTTCAAAGTTTTTATAAATCCCCCTCTTTTGTGAATCCCAGGCCCCTTCTACACTGCCATATGATCCAGATTATCAAAATAGAAAATCCACATTATATGTTCTGAACTGGATTATATGAGTCTCCACTGCCATATAATCCAGTTCAAAGGAGATAATCTGGATTTTATATGGCAGTGTAGAAGGGGCCCCAGTTCCCAGTGGTGAAGTCCTTTACTCTGAACTGATGACGCTAGTAAATTATGTTTCTCCTTTACCCATGAACAATATGTATGTGGATGAGAACATAAGGTATGAATCTGCAACCCGTGAGCAATGAACATAGACACTTGCATCTTTTGTAACTGATACTCAGTGTTAAGGGAAATTTACATATGGACAGAAATACCTGTGGGAAAGATGAAAACATGCCCAGAATGGATAGAAGCCAACGAGCTTCCATGATTGCATACTAGCCCACGGAAGAAGGAAGGAATAAACCAGAAAAGACAACGACAAAAAAAAAAGAGTAAGAAGAATGGGATGACTTCATCTATACATCATTCCATTTGCTGATTTCAGGGTCATTTATCTCTGAACATCTCTTCAGCATTACATTAGTTTCACAACAAGGTTATGTACCAGCATTTGACAGCCCAGGATATTGAGATTTATAATTAGCTAAAATATGAAACAGGGCGAGGCTGTTGAAGAGCATCCACGCATGGTCTCCAAATCTCTTAGGTCTGTCAAAACCAAGTTAGCCAGGAAGCAAATTCAATTGCTGTGGAAAGAAAACTACATTTGATGTACATTATTGCCATACTCAATTTCCCAATACAACATGAAACAGTCATATTTAGATAAATATCACTCTTCTTCATTCTCACAGACTACAAGTCGTGCTTCCTATCAAGAGGCCAGATGGACCCAAGAGAGCAGAAATTCGTTATATATGTTTACAAAAAGCACTGTCCTGTCCTGATTTGATCCTTTTTGTTCAATGCTTAAGCAAATGATTACGTCCTCAATGGCATGTTCCCAACATCAATTCAAAATCAGAAAATGATATGCCAGTTCTATTATTTAAACCAAGGCAGGAACTGGCTAACCAAATTCAGGATTTGAAACATTAAGGGCTTGTCTGCATAAATGAAAAAACCTGGACTTGCATCGAATCTAGCACTGACTGTCTACAGGACACATAAATACTTCTGGTCAGTTTTTGGCCCGATCCACTGTCCAGATGGACACCACCACCATCATCTTTTCCCTGCAGTGATCAGTACAAGGAAGGTAGCTTTTCCTCTGTCACTGCTGCTGTTCCTTGTTGTCCATGGAGCTTTCTGCCAGCACCTGGCAGGCCCCTTCTATACTACCATATAATCCAGATTATCAAAGCAGATAGTCCACATTATCTGCTTTGAACTGCATTATATGAGTCTACACTGCCATATAATCCAGTTCAAAGCAAATAATCTGGATTTCATATAGCAATGTAGAAGAGGCTTCAGTCCTACCACCATCACCAATAAGGTAGATGAGGGTGCAAGAGAGCCTTCTTGAGGGACTCTGGAATTCCTTTCTCAACATCAAGGAACATGTTTTTCATTAAAAGGCTTCTTTATTACAATAAAAACTAGGCAAACTCAATATTTCCCACGTTTCAATTTTTATCAAAATTCAATTCTCCCCAAACTCTGCCTCCCTCCATTCTTTCTCCAGTTTTATTTCTGGCTCCAGACACAACTACCCACAACCCATTACAGCTGGCTTTTAAATAGCTGATACAATCATACTTTTTTTCTTTTTCTAGAAACCTCCAAAACCCAGATATTACAACTGAATGAACTACAGAATCTTCTGCACACAGACACTCAAACACACATATCCTTCCCATTTTTAAAATGTTGTTGAAGAGCTAATTAACCACTATGTAACTTGTAACGTTGTGTCTGATTCAACTGGTTCCAAAATTATGTATTTATTTATTTACTGCATTTATATCCTGCTCTTCTCACTCCAAAGGGGACCCAGGGTGGTTCACAACAAAGGCTCAATTCAATGCCATAAAGATAGATAGATAGATAGATAGATAGATAGATAGATAGATAGATAGATAGATAGATAGAGATAGATAGATAGATAGATAGATAGATAGGTAGGTAGGTAGATAGATAGATTAAAATAACATATATTTTAAAAACACATAATGAAAACATATCAAACTTTAAACAATTACTTAAAATCACACAATCCAAAAGCATATTCCAGAAGCCATTCTGATTGTCACTTGCATTATTCATTATTGCATTGAGAGATCATTATTGCATTGGGAATCATTGTCCAAAGGCTCGGTCACACAACCATTTCTTCACTTTCTTCCTGAAGGCCAGGAAGGAGGGGGCTGATCTAATTTCTGGGAGGGGGGAGTTCCCTAGCCAAGGGGACACCACCGAGAAGGCTCTGTCTCTTGTTCCCACCAGTTCCACCTGTGAGAGGGGTGGGATTAAGAAAAGGGCCTCCTCAGACAATCTTAACCTCCAAGATGGTTCATAGCGAGGTACGTTCAGACAGGTAAGCTCGGCCAGAACTGCTTAGGGCTTTATAGGCTAAAGCCAGCACTTTGAATTGTGTTATAGAAACACTTGAAAGGTTATGTGATGGGTTGTATAGCTAAATGATCTGATGGAACATAACTAAAAATGTATAGGCGCCCATCCTATATTATAAGCCGCTGAACTGTTTTCTGACTCTTTCTGAGGAGAAATTAGCTTAGAATACGATAGTAATATGTAACCAGACCACCTACAGATACAATAACAATTCTCTGAAACAGTCTGAATAAAAACAGTGATATTGAAACAAGAATATTGTTTCAATTGTAACAGACCTTAGCTTTCCAGGGCAGCTAGAAGATCTCCTTACCTTGAAGGTGTTTGCCAAAAATGGATTTCTGAACACTTGGCCATGGCCAGGTGCTTCACCATCAATCAACAGGTCCTTCCCATGTTGGCTTCCAGGTGCTTGAAGAGTATAAGCACCACTCTTCCAGTGGTGAGAAGTAATTTCCGATACTGGGAATCCTTTCTCAGCCAATTCTATTGCTGGCTGCAAAATCTGCCTCATGGAAAGCTAAATCAGAAAAATATTATTCTATTATTTTTATATGCAGCTAAATTATTATATTAATGACTAGAAGAAGAGGGGGGGAATCAAAGAAATAGAAAACTGTAATAAAAATCAGTTTATTATATAAAAAAGGATGTAACAGAGGGGGGCTTATTATGAAACATCATAAGTATATACTGTAATTGCTTGGAATTGTAAACTTACAATATTAAAATATATACACAAATAATGAAGCTGAAATTCAGATTTTTTTATTGAAAAGATGATATAACTCAGATTCTACTTCTTAACCATTTGTGTGTCACCTTTTGGCTTCCAAAGATTGCAACAGCATCACACCATCCAGCTGTGGCACCAGGTACTGTGACATTATATGCATGTTGTACTGGTGGGGGATTTGCTTCACTGAAACCATGGTTTTTGAGCAGCTCCAAGGTTAGGGACTGTGAAGATCGGCCACTGCAAAGCAAGCAAACAGGCCTATATAAATAAGATTACAGAAATGCCAGCATCCATTTGATTTTAAAAGAAAAGGCTGGTACGATTGCTTGACATAGCATGGCAGCACCTCTGATAAATGAAGTAATAACCTGAAATAATGTCAGTAGTTCCCATGGTATTTTAGACATATTTTTCACCAGCCGTCTCTCCAATGATAATTTTGCCATCCTCATTCCCAGAAACTCTTGCTAGTTACCTCGATCATTGGAAATCTTCTGTACTTTCTACTACTATTAACATTTTACAGTACTTTCAGATATATGGCTCCGAGATCTACTAACTAAAGGATGTCATGTTGATGGGGTCCACGCAAATAAGCAGGGGAACACATACAGAAGAAGAAGTGGGAGAGTTATGGACCATTTATAAAATGCCATTAAGTAGATAATTGTATAATTAACATTTTGCCTAGAAGCATGCTTTCATTAATGCAGTATCAACAGGAAGGAAGAGAGATTGCTAAAAAGTTAATCAAATCCATACCTGACTAATCAGTTGCTCATCTACCAAAGGTCTCTGGGTCTATGTACATGACTAAAGAAAGACTACATAGATCACATACATTTAGCATCTCATACCTATTGTATGTAGACATCAATACTTTTAAGCACATTAAAATTAACTATATGAAAGCCCAGATATTTGTAATATTTAAAGATCTAAATCTGAAACACCTACAAATTCCAACTGAATCAGGACAATAAATAAAGAACAACACTAAATAAAAGGGGGGGGGAATTCCATACAAGAATCAATCAGGGCCAGCTAACACCTCCCAACAAAGGATCCCCAGGCAGTAAGCAGCCAGGCTTTGAGGTTGCAAGGCCATTAAATGCTAATCAAGGTGACCAATTGCAACATTCACGCTTGCCTCAAGCAGACAAGAGTTCTCTCTCCCACCCTGGACATCCCACAGATACATAAACCTTACTTGCCTAATTTCCAACAGGTAAGATGAAATGTCAGGAGAGAATACTTCTGGAACATGGCCATACAGCCCGGAAAATTCACAGCAAAACACTCAATGTATATATTTTTAAAAAACTTATTACCTGATAAGATGCAATATTTTTAAAGGCTGCACAATGTGTCAAAATTAAGGGAGTGGCATGAATGAAGGCACTGATCTGTATAAACATTGGATTTCTATGAATATTCTGGGCTGTATGGCCATGTTCAAGAAGCATTCTCTCTTGATGTTTTGCTCACATCTATGGCAGGCATCCTCCAAGGTTGTGAGGTCTGTTGGAAACTAGGCAAGTGGGCTTTATATATATGTTAAGGGTGGGAGAAAAAACTCTTGTCTGCTTGAGGCAAGTGTGAATGTTGCAATTGGTCAGCTTGATTAGCACTGAATAGCCTTGCAGTTTCAAAGCCTGGCTGCTTCCTGCCAATGGGGAATCCTTTGGTGTTAGCTGGCCTGATCGTTTCCTGACTGGAATTCTCTTGTTTTCCGAATGTTGTTCTTTAAATAAAGATTTTAGAGGGTTTTTTTTTAATGCTGGTAGCCAGATTTTGTTTATTTTCAAGGTTTCCAACAGACCTCACAACCTCTGAGGATGCCTGCCACTGATGTGGGTGAAAAGTCAAGGGAGAATGCTTCTGGAACATGGCCATACAGCCAGGAAAACTCACTGTAACCCAGTGATTCCGGCCATGAAAGCCTTCGACAACATATATAAATGGTTTTTTTAAAAAATCACACTCTTGAATGATTTCTGACTAAATTAGAATATGTTTAGATTATTTTAATGACACCACTATAATATTACCATGAACTATTCCACTGAATAATGGAAAATCTGTTTCCAAAGGAAAAGATCCTTTCATTATGTTTTTATAAGGGTGCTTGGCAGGTTATGCACTCTACAACCTCTGGACAGAAGCCAAAATGCTGTGTTTGAAACAGTTTCCTCTTTCTTTGTGGAAGGTTTATTGGGGGGCAGCCTGAAGTTAGGAAATCAGATTCAACATGTCCTGCTCTTTGCCCTTTAGCTACAGCAACAGGAACTGAAAAGCACCTGGAATTAATGCTAGCCTTTAATAGCGTATTCCTTTCGCCTATTCAATACAGACCTAGTTTGGAAAGCCAACCTCTGCAGTAGTAAAAAAAAATTAAAAGAACTTAAATTCAGGAAAATGTGAACAAAAAGAAGAGGAAATGAGGTGTGAAACTAGACTTAATATTTCTTAGTTAAAATTAAGTTCTTTCCCTAACGGAAACAGAACTGGAGACTCTGTCCTTCAGGATGCTTGTACACAGTGATTATCAAGGTCAGATTAAAAATAAATCACTAGATCAGACAAAAGGTGCATCTTCTTTGCAATCCTATGGAAATTTACTCAGAATTCAGTGGAGTTTATTCCCCCAAAAAGTATGAATAGGATTGCTGCCTTGGTCTTACAGTCTAGTTTATAGATTCGCTTCAGTGATATAGTAAACCAGCATTTCTCAACCTCTGGATCGAGAGCCCTGGGGGGGGGGGAGTCACAAAGGGGTGTCGGAGGGATCACCAAGACCATCAGAAAACACAGTATTTTCTGTTGGTCATGGGGATTCTGTGTGCAAAGTTTGGCCCAATTCTATCCTAGATGAGGTTCAGAATGCTCTTTGATTGTACATGAACTACAAATCCCAGCAACTACAACTCCCAAATGTCAAGATCTATTTTCCCCAAACTCCACTAGTGGTCACATTTGGGCATATTGAGTATCAATACCAAGTTTGATCCAGATCCATAGTTGTTTGAGTCCACAGTGCTCTCTGGATGTAGGTGAACCACAACTTCAAAACTCAAGGTCAATGCCCACCATATCCTTCCAGTATTTTCTGTTGGTCATGGGAGTTCTGTGTGCCGAGTTTGGTTCCATTCCATCATTGGTGGAGTTAAGAATGCTCTTTGATTGTAGGTGGACTATAAATCCCAGCAACTACAACTCCCAAAATGACAAAATCAATTCCCCAACCCTACCAGTATTCAAACATGGGGGTATTGGGTATTTGTGCCAAATTAAGGTCCAGTGAATGAAAATCAGATCTTTACATCACAATTCATAATAGTGGCAATGAAAATAATTTTATGGTAGTAACGAAAATAATTTTATGGACCCCACAACATAATGAACTGTGTTAAGGGGTCGTGGCATTAGGAAGGTTAAGGACCACTGCAGTAAACAGAAAGGACCATGACATCTCTTGACTTTATAAACTTAACTGTGATTTCCTCCAACAAAGATCTTAGGGTGCATCTAGATTGTAGAAATGATTCACTTTAACTGCCATGGATCAATGCTACAAATCATAGGAGTTGTAGTTTTATAAAGTTTTTCACCTTCTCTGCCAAAGAGTGTTGAGGTCACATCAAACTACAAATTGCAGGATTCTATAAAAAAGGGGCATGGCAGTTAAACTGGTGTAGGTGCAACCACAGCCTTCCAGCTCCCTATTCATAAAACAGTAGCAAAAAATAAAGAAATCATGGCAAGACTTGTATAGCCCCCACACCACAACATTCCCTTTACATCACTGACACATGTTTCTACCCTAGTAAATAACAGAACCCAACAGCTCCAGATCTTCTTCTTTGAAACATACCTTCCATTGAGGCCATGCACCTGTTTTGTGCTTGCATCATAGTAGAGGCAGAAGCAATCTCCTCCTATTCCAGTACTGCAAGGTTCGGTAACATTGAGGGCAGCTGCTACAGCCACAGCAGCATCGACAGCATTGCCGCCACTCTTTAAAATATCTACGACAATAAGCAATATCCACTTATTATAATATTTTTCATGGGGAAGGATTTGTCATAGGTAACTGTTATCAAATACATATTAAGAGTCCCATCCACATGAGAAGGCTGGAATAATACAATATTATGAATTAAAAGAAGACATGGAAGTAATGGCTTTCCATATTAAAATAAGAGATCAGAGACTGGCTTTATATGTAATCCGGATGCTGAGTGAGAGGAAATGAGAGTGGTGCTCTTATTTTCGAACAGCAGGCATAATATCCATAACTGAATTTGTAAGAGAAACATAAGCAAGAGGCAAATTACCTAATATATCATTTCCGTACAAATTCACTTTTACATTACATATCAGTGTAACAGGATATAAAACTTGCTTGCACTTTCTGTACTAACATGTAAAGATATTCAGTGCATAAAGGAAAGAATATGACTTTTTCTGATACTTGCATCATATGCATTTATCTCATGTTCTGGCTGTGTTTTCTGGTTTATATCTAAAGCCTATAAAAGAAAATAAACTTATTTTTTCTAAATTAAATTTTTTTTTGAAAATAATACAAATAAAATATATTCAATGTTCTATAAGATGCAGGAAAAAGGATTAGTTGCTCAGGATATAAAACTTGCTTGCACTTCCTGTACTAACATGTAAATATATTCAGTGCATAAAGGAAAGAATATGACTTTTCCTGATACTTGCATCATATGCATTTATCGCCTGTTCTGGCTGTGTTTTCTGGTTTATAACTAAAGCCTATAAAAGAAAATAAACTTATTTTTCTAAATTAAATTAATTTTTAAATAAAATATATCCAATGTTCTATAAGATGCAGGAAAAAGGATTAGCTGCTCACAGGACAAGAAAGATCTAAAATCAAAGGATAGTCCTATTTACGGGTTGTAGGTTTTTTCGGGCTATATGGCCATGTTCTAAAGGCATTTTCTCCTGACGTTTCACCTGCATCTATGGAAAGCATCCTCAGAGGTAGTGAGGTCTGCTGGAACTAGGAAAAAGGGTTTATATATCTGTGGAATGACCAGGGTGGGACAAAGGCCTCTTGTCTTCTGGAGCTAGGTGTGAATGTTTCAACTGATCACCTTGATTAGCATTTGATTGCCTGGCAGTGCCTGGAGCAATCTTTTGTTGAGAGGTAATTAGATGTCCTTGTTTGTTTCCTCTCTGTTTTGTGCTGTTCTAAGTTTTGAGTTTTTTTAATACTGGTAGCCAGATTTTGTTCATGGTTTCAGTCTGCAGTGCCTTTCATGTTCCTTGATTCGTGTTTGGGCGCTGCGTTTGGTGGTCCCTATGTAGACTTATCCACAGCTGCATTTATTTATTTATTATTTATTTATTTATTTACTGCATTTATTGACCGCCGCTCTCAGCCCTAGGGCGACTCGCGGCGGTGCACAACATATAAAAACAGTTTACAAAAAGGGCAAAACAGGAAATCAATACAACAATAATACACTATAATCTAGTTACACTAAATAATCCGCTCCGTCACATCATAGAATCATAACCAATATCATAATCCGTATTCCGTTCCAGTTGTCAATTACCAGTTGCCGTAGCGCTCAGTTGAATGCCTTCTCAAATAGCCAGGTCTTCAGGCTCTTACGGAAGGACAGAAGGGAAGGCGCCTGTCTGATGTCAGCAGGGAGGTCGTTCCACAGCCGGGGGGCCACCACCGAGAAGGCCCTCTCTCTCGTCCCCGCCAGGCGTGCCTGTGAAGCAGGCGGGATCGAGAGAAGGGCCTCCCCAGATGATCTCAAGGTCCTCGTGGGCTCATAGGCCGAGATGCGGTCCGAAAGGTAGTTTGGGCCGGAACCGTTTAGGGCTTTGTAGGATAGCACCAGCACCTTAAATTGGGCCCGGTAGCAAATCGGCAGCCAGTGGAGCTGGAACAGCAAGGGCGTTGTATGCTCCCTGCGTCCCGCTCCTGTTAGTAACATGGCTGCCGCGCGCTGGACTAGCTGAAGCTTCCTGGCCGTCTTTAAGGGCAGCCCCACGTAGAGAGCGTTGCAGTAGTCAAGGCGGGATGTGACCAGAGCGTGACCATATGGAGCCTATTTGTGTATCTGGCCAGTTTGGAAAAGCAAACAGTATTGGGGCCTCTGGTCACGACCGAGACCTTGGGGTTCCAGGCTCAATGAGTCCAGGGTCACACCCAAGCCGCGAACCTGCGCCTTCAAGGGGAGTGACCCCGTCCAGCACAGGCTGTAACCCTATACCCTGTTCGGCCTTGCGACTGACCAGGAGTACCTCTGTCTTGTCTGGATTTAATTTCAGTTTGTTCGCCCTCATCCAGACCATTACAGCGGCCAGGCACCGGTTCAGGACCTCGACAGCCTCCTTAGTAGCAGGTGGAAAAGAGTGACAGAGTTGGACATCATCTGCGTACAGATGACACCGCATCCCGAAACTCCAGATGATCTCACCCAGCGGCTTCATGTAGATATTAAACAGCATGGGGGACAGTATAGCCCTGTGGAACCCCACAGGTCAAAGGCTGTGGTGTTGAACAGGAGTCCCCCAATAACACCTTCTGGGTACCCTCCAGAAATGACTGGAGCCACTGCAGAGCAGTGCCCCCAAGACCCATTGCCGCAAGGCGCCCCAGAAGGATACCGTGGTCGACGGTATCGAAGGCCGCTGAGAGGTCCAGGAGCACCAACAGGGACACACTCCCCCTGTCTAGCTCCCGGCGCAGATCATCCACTAAGGCGACCAAGACCGTCTCGGTTCCATGTCCCGGTCTGAAACCAGACTGTGCCGAGTCCAGATAATCCGTGTCTCTCAAGAATACCTGGAGTTGTGAGGCCACCACGCTTTCCATGACTTTGCCCAAAAAGGGAAGATTGGAAACAGGCCGAAAGTTGTCCAATTTAGTGGGGTCCAGTGATGGTTTCTTCAACAGCGGTTTTATAATAGCCTGTTTTAGGCTCGCTGGAATCTTGCCTTCCCGAAGGGAGGCGTTGACCACCACCGTTACCCACTCAGCCAATCCCCCTCTGGCCTCCTTCAGAAGCCAGGATGGGCAGGGGTCTAGGATGGACGTGGTGGGCCTCATTCCTCCAAGTATCTTGTCCACTCCTCGGGCTTCACAAACTGAAAAGAATCCATCAAAATAGGACAAGCAGGTGCTCGTGTCACATCCTCAGAGACTGCATTTAACATGGTGTCCAGCCCAGAACGGATCAAAGCGACTTTGTCTGCAAAAAACCGAGCAAATGCTTCACAGCGCGTGACCGAGTTGTCAGGGCTCCCGCCTGAGGTGGCGGGAGTTAAAAGACCTCTGACAATCCGGAACAACTCCGCCGGACGGTTTATTGCAGACGCAATAGTGGCCGCAAAGAAACTTTTCTTTGCGGCTTTTATTGCCGCGGCATATGCCCTTAAGAAGGACACAAACCGTGCTCGATTTGGCTCGCTTGGGTCCGAACGCCACACGCTCTCTAGTTCCCTCTTCCTTCGCTTCATCACTGCCAACTCCTCGGTAAACCAAGGAGCTGGTTTAGCTCGGCTACTTGAGAGGGGACGTTCCGGAGCGATCACGTCAATTGCCCTGGCCTTCTCCCCATTCCAGAGAGCGACCAAGGCCTCGACATGGTCACCTGCCGCGGAGGCGGGAAAATCCCCAAGAGCCGTCAGGAATCCATTCGGATCCATAAGCCTCCTGGGGCGGACCATCTTAATGGGTCCTCCACCTTTGCGGAGGTTAGGGGGTGCAGTGAGCCTAAATCTGATCAGGAAGTGGTCAGTCCATGGCAACGGAGAGATAGACAACTCCTCCACACCGCCACCCTGCTCCCATCCCTGGCAGAAAACCAAGTCCAATGTGTGTCCAGCACAATGGGTGGGGCCAGATATTTGTTGGGACAGCCCCATGGTTGCCATGGCAGACATGAAGTCCTGAGCCGCTCCTGTGAGGGTCGCCTCGGCATGGATATTGAAGTCTCCCAGCACGAAAGCCGTTGAGACTCCAACGCCAGGCTCGAGACTCCCCCCGCTAGCTCAGGTAGGGAGACTGTAGTGCAGCGAGGTGGACGGTACACTAACAGAATCCCTATTCTGTCCCGGTCACCCACCCTCAGGTGGACGCATTCAAAATTTGTGGTCTGCGGGATGGGGCTCCTGGTCAGATGGATGGAATCTCTATAGACCACTGCGACCCCGCCTCCCCGTCCTCCGGATCTCGGTTGGTGCTGTACGGAGAAACCTGGAGGACAAAGCTGGGTGAGATTCACACCCCCAGCTTCATCCAGCCAGGTCTCCGTGATGCACGCCAGATCTGCCCGCTCATCCAGGATTAAATCCTGGATGAAGGTCGTTTTTCCGTTGACAGATCTGGCGTTCAGCAGCACCACCTTCAATCCAGAGGGCCCGCTCACCTGGCTACACCAATTTACCTTAGGAGACCGATTTGGGGTTATTAATGTAGATAAGTGGTCCGAATTAGGCCGAATTCGATGTCTCCTTTTTCCGCATCTCCTCCTTCCCACCACGACCTCTATGGGGGCCCCTCGGCTAGTGGAACACCTCCCCTCCTCCATGCCGCAATCCGAAACCAAGGTCTTAGTCTCTGTTTCACTAGTTGTTTGGTTTGTTGGCGTTTTTCCATGCCAATTACCTTGATTCTCTTTCTCCCCCCTCCCCACCTCATTGTTGCCCACGGGCTCCAGCCCACTTCTACCCTTGCTCCTTAGCTGCATGGCAATAGCTGCATGGTACACGGTAGACTGCAGAAGTGAGAGGATCCCTCTTGTCCATTGCTGAACATAGCATTTGTTGGATTTTCTTGGTGGGCCTGTAGATAGTTTGTATGTTGTGTTTCCTCATCAGCTTCCCTATGCGGTCAGTGGTGTTTTTTTTGTTGTTGTTTTTTGCGGTCAGTGGTTCCCTTGATGTATGGCAAGAACACTTTTCCTCTGGGTGGATCTTCGTCTTTACTCTCAAGAAAATGAAGGAAGACTGCCTTTTCTAGATGTCCTAGTCATCCGTAAACCAGATCAACAATTGGGTCACACCGTTTACAGAAAACCCACACACAGAGATAGATATCTGTCATTACTTGCAACAATAGTTGATAAACTGGAAGCAACCAGGCATATGGGGGGGGGGAGAGATTTGAAGGCCCCCATGAAGGAGGTGGACTTGGTGGAGGCGGTTGATTACAGGGGCGGAGCTGCAGGCTATTTAAGGCTGCTCTGCCCCCCTGCTGTGCTCTTTGCTTCAGAATGAGGTAGGAGGCAAGTCCCTAATGGGGAATTAGGCCTCCCCTTTTACAGTTAGTAGGGTTCCCATTGCTATGCCTATATATAGGTCCTTTACAACTCTTAAACGTTTGAAAACACGCATAAGAAGAACAATGGGACAAGAAAGACTGGCTGGACTTGCACTCTTGTGTCCACCAAAGTTTATCAGTGGAGCCTGATTAATGTTAAAGTGTATTGACACAGTTTTCAAGTGTTTCCAACAGATGTTATGGTATTCTTTGGCAACTAGAAATTCCCAATTAACAGCCATTTTCAGTTATTTTAAGACTTAAAACTTTGTAACTAAAATAAAACATTGATTTAATCACATCTATATAAATGAACCATACTATTTACATTATTTTGTGTTATGGAACTACTCTTCATGATTCATTTAAAAAGTTTCAACTCCTCCCCTCCCCCCCCCCCAAATTTTTTTTCTGGCTATGGCCTTGAATGCAAATAATCCAGATTCTGAATCCAAATCATCTGCTTTGAACTGCCATATAAACCAGTTCAAAGCAGATAATCTGGATTCAGAAACTGAATTGTATGGAAGTGTAGATGTGGCCTGACGTTTTCATTAAATTTCAAATGTAAACCCAAATATGCTTCAAAATAGTTTAGATTTTTATAAAACATAGATATACAGTACACATGTACATCCAATTGCATGAGATTAAAACAAATGGAAATTGTATGTTATTTCCAGTGTCCCAACTTCCAGCAGCTTTTCCCAGAATAGCCAATGGCGAATGTTGTTAGTTGCAGTCACCAATATATGGAGTCATGAAGGAAGAATGTTCAACCATGGGTGCATCTCTACATTGTAAAATTGGTGCAGTTTGACACCACGTTAACTGCCAATCAATGTAAAACTGATGCAGTTTGACACCACTTTTAACTGTCATGGCTCAGTGCTGTGACAACTGCACTTTTACAAGGTCTTTAGCCTGGAGCTACAAATCCTAGGATGTCATAGCATAGCAGTGAACCATGGAAGCAGGCCCGTAACCAGGATTTTGATTCGGGGGGAGGGGCTGAGTTTGATGGGGGGGGGCTGAGTCTGAGTGAAAGAGGGTCTACCCTAGCAAACCTTTTGTATCGTTACCCCAATACCCCCATGCATATGGGATATATTGAGCATGGTGATCAAATCATGATATGAATAAACATAACAGTTTAAATAATGTACCAGTAAGGCCTTCTCATGGACCACCATGAGAATTTGGGGGGGGGGGGGGCTGAAGCTACATGCCTGCATGGAAGTTAAAATGGTGTCAACTGCATTAACTCTACTGAGTAGATGCATCCTTAGTATGGGAACACCCCAAAACATATAGATTTCATCTATTAAAGAAACAATTGAGGAATTTACCAAGGCCGATATTGGTTGCGAGAGGCTGGCTTGATGCAACACAACCATTAGTGCAAACAACTGGGGATCGTCGTGAACAGAATTTAAGCTGCGACATTCTTTTGGGAAACAATAATACGGAACCTGCACACACACAAAGGAAATACAAATTTAAAATATAACCCTATTTACTGTGTAGATCATATTTTAGCTATTCATTTATATATAAGAAGTCAAGCAACCAGATCAATTGAGTTAAATTGAATAAGTTAACGTTGAATGAATTGTTTAAAAATATTTAAAACAGCTTTCCAGACATTTCAAGTTAGTGAAAAACTTTTAAGACGTGCATCATTTCGTGAGACAGCACTTCAGTTTTCCCAGCAAACCGGAGGTTATAAGAGATACACACACACACATTATAACTTTAGATATGGTTATGATTTTCTATGGGTAAGCAGATGGAGACTGGTAGATGGCCAACGTTCTGTATCTCCAACAATAGATGTGATGGGGGAAAAGCAAGTCAAATATACTCAAAAACAGAGTTAACATTTGAAGCACCAAAATGTGTGTTGGCCAGTGTTATTTATAAATTCTGGCAATACAGAACTGGCCACAGTGGATTAAATACAATTTATGGACCAACTAAATCAAATCCAGTGAAATGATTGCTATATGGTAATCAACATTCACTTAAGTCCCATTGATATCAGCAGATCTTCTCTCTATCACAGAATGTTCCTGGCAAGACATACTCCCTTCCTCTGAGGCTGAGGGAGTGTGACATACCCATGGCAACCCAGTGAGTTTCAGTGGCTGATCAGTGATTTGAATCCTGGTTTCCCAGAATTTTCCATACCTTCACTCAGTCAACAGAGACTGCAGTCAAGAAATCAGAAGTAGACGAGGGTTTAGAAGAGCAACTACAAAGGAACTAGACAGGTGTAGAAATAGATCATTGAATTCTAAAGTTAGGGCCATTGTATTTCCAGTTTCTGTGTATGGTTATGAAAGTTGGGGGGCTTATAGAAACAAAGAGAGAAACAACCATTTTAAAAGCAGCTGGAAAAGAGAGATGAAAAAGAAAGAATTAGCAATGCTCCTGCCAAATTGAAATGATTGCAGGCTATCTCCTTCATGCAACTATAGTGATACAGCCATTTGTTTGTGGTTAGGGTTATGGAAAATGCCATCTTTTGGCTAGACTTCAAAGAGGTAGCTGTGTTAGTCTGGAATTTCAGTATGCAAAGGGATCTTTTGGAAGTAACTGAACAAAGTTGCAGCACAAACCTTTCTAGTCATTTTCTCCTTGAAGTAGACTAAATCTACCAAAGTTTATGTCACAACATCTTTGTGTTAATCTCTGAATCCCACAATCAAGAGGACCAACAATTGTTCTGACTGGGGGATTTGGGGGAAAGTGCTGCCAAAAGGAGGGTCGCCAAGCTATGTCTGCAGAGCATTCCCCTCCACTCATTCCCAGAGGTGGAGAAATAGCCTGGCATCATTATTAGAAATGATGATTAATGACTTCCTCTTGAGGAGGAAGTCATTAATCATCATTTCTAATAATGATGCCAATCCAGCTACTACTGGACTCCAGAACTGCTTCACCACACCTGCATCATAAGGATGCTTTTCAAGAGCCTTTGACACTTTTTGAGCCTGGCCTCCACCCTCACAGCTGTCCATCCCTATCCAGATCTGACAAACCCTGCCAACTCACCCTGAAAGGAGGCTGGAAACTGATGGCTTCCTAGGGAAGACTGCCTGAAGTGGCAGCTGTCGAAGTACCACTTTTGTGTCAGCGTATATGGTCTGTGGGTGCATAGTATTGAATGAATGTTGCTTGTCAACTAACTGCTGAGGCTTAATTGAATGGAATCCTTCATTGTGTAATTTAATGCTACCAAAAATTCTTCAAGTAACTTCTTCCTCTCACTGAGCGTGCATCTACTCTTGTACGGTTAATGCAGTTTGGCACCACCTGAACTGCCAGGGCTCAGTACTATGGAATCGTAGGAATTGTGGTTTGGCAAGGCACCTGCATTCTTTGGCAGAGAAGGCTAAAGATGTTGTGACAGTGCCCACGATCCCATTGCATTGAGCCCTGGCAGTTTAAGCGGTGTCAAATGGCATTTGTTCTACAAAGTAATGCATCCAGAGCAGGCATGGGCAAACTTCGGCCCTTCAGGTGTTTTGGACTTCAACTCCCACAATTTCTACCATTGTGAGGCACCAGCCCTCTTTGGCAGAGAAGGCAGTTGCAACTTGGTAGTGTGGGAGTTGGAGTCCAAAACACCCGGACCGCCTGCGTTTACCCATGCCTGATCCAGAGACTCAGGGCCCTTCCAGACATATAACCCAGAATATCAAGCAAGAAAATCCTACAATGTCTGCTTTGAAGTGCATTATCTGAGTCTACACTGCCATATATCCCAGTTCAAAGCAGAAAATATGGGATTTTATTCAGCTGTGTAGAAGGGGCCTCTCAAGTCCTTAAGAGATTTCTTTTGGTGCCTTTCCTTACCACTTCCTTACACAAAGTCACAGCCTTTTGCTGTTGGAACTGTATTACATGGTCAGAGACGGCTCTTCCACACAGCCCTATATCCCAGAATATCAAGGCAGAAAATCCCACGTTACCTGATAATCCAGGGCCCTTCCACACAGCCCCATATCCCAGAATATCAAGGCAGAAAATCCCACAATATCTCCTTTGGACTGGGTTGTCTGAGTCCACACTGCCATATATTCCAGTTCGAAGCAGAAAATGTGGGATTTTCTTCAACTGTGTGGAAGCCCCCCCCCCCTCCCCCCCAGTTCCAAGTAGATGTTGTGGGATTTCCTGCCTTGATATTCTGGGATATAGGGCTGTGTGGAAAGGCCCTGAGACCCACAGAATTCTATTCAAACTGCACTATTTGGCAGTATAGATGCAGCCCCACTTCAAAGAAGTCTTCTTTTTGAACAATCTTCCCACGTGGAAGCCTGGGAGATTTATTTTTTACAAAAGGAGGCAAGAGATTTGAGGCCAGAGCCTAACGTGACAGGCAGGGAGCAGCCCCCCCCTCCCTGTTTCCTTCCCAAAAGCGCGCGCTCCCGCCTACCTTTCGCGCGCGGGCACGCACCTCCTTGGCCAGAAAAACAAACAAAAGCCTGGCATGGGAGGCGCGGAAGCAAGGCGTTTGCGGGGGAAGGAAGGGGGTCACGTGGAAGCCTCCACCCCAAGTGCCATTGGCCCCTTACATAAGGAGTGAGACGGACTTGGCCTTTGGGCGATGAGGGGGGCAATAAAGATAGGCTCCCGGCGTGGCCCTGGTGCCTGTGACGTGTTCTGCTCACCTCGGGGCTGGCGCGCCTTTCTTTGTGCCACGCACAACTAGGCTCCCCGCTTCTCTAGAGTTTACCCTTCCCGGTGCCACGTTGAAACAAAGAGCCCCCCCCCCCCATGGGGCGCATATTCTGCACTGTAGAATTGACCCCACTCAAGTGGTGGCTCAATGGGTTGTTGTAGGTTTTTTCGAGCTATATGACCATGTTCTAGAGGCATTTTCTCCTGACGTTTCGCCTGCATCTATGGCAAGCATCTGTTGGAAGTAGGAAAATGGGTTTATATATCTGTGGAATGACCAGGGTGGGACAAAAGACTCTTCTCTGCTGGAGCTAGGTGTGAATGTTTCAACTGACCACCTTGATTAGCATTTGAGGCTGACAGTGCCTGGAGCAATCTTTTGTTGAGAGGTGATTAGATGTCCTTGTTTGTTTCCTCTCTGTTGTTGTGCTGTTCTAATTTTAGAGTTTTTTTAAGTACTGGTAGCCAGATTTTGTTCATTTTCATGGTTTCCTCCTTTCTGTTGAAATTGTCCAAATGCTAATCACCTCTCAACAAAAGATTGCTCCAGGCACTGCCAGGCCATCAAATGCTAATCACAGTGATCAGTTGAAACATTCACACCTAGTTCCACAGACAAGAGTCCTTTGTCCCACCCTGGTCATTCCACAGATATATAAACCCTTTTTCCTAGTTCCAACAGACCTCACTACCTCAGAGGATGCTTGCCATAGATGCAGGCAAAACGTCAGGAGAAAATGCCTCTAGAACATGGCCATGTAGCCCAAAAAAAACTACAACAACCCAGTGATTCCGGCCATGAAAGCCTTCGACAATACATATTCTGCACTGTAGAATTGACCCCACTCAAGTGGTGGCTCAAGGCTATGAAAATGCTATGAGCCACCACTCGAAGTTGTGGCTCAATGCTTTGGCTCAATGCTATGACACCACCTGAGCTGTAGTTTTACAAAGATCTTTCATTTCTTTCATTCTGGGTGTTTTCCAACATTTCTTCTATCATTTTCTTACCACCAGAAAATAAAATAGAGAAAGTTACACCATATATTAGCCATAGGTACCCATAAGGATACCAAGGTGCTTGTTTATAAAGCCATTGTCCTCCCAACCCTGTTATATGCCTGCAAAACGTGGACTGTCTATAGATGTCATACGCAACTCCTGGAACGATTCCATCAGCGCTGCCTCCGGAAAATCCTGCAAATCTCTTGGGAAGACAGGCGGACAAATGTCAACGTGCTGGAAGAAGCAAAGACCACCAGCATTGAAGCGATGCTCCTCCGCCATCAAATCTGCTGGACCAGCCACTTTGTCCGAATGCCTGATCACCATCTCCCAAAGCAGTTGTTCTACTCCAAACTCAAGAACGGAAAATGGAATGTTGGTGGACAAGAAAAGAAATTTGAAGATGGGCTTAAAGCCAACCTCAAAAACTGTGGCATAGACACCGAGAACTGAACTGTGAAGCCAGTTGTGACCAGCAGTGCTGCAGCATTCGAAGAGGCACAAATGGAGTGCGAAATGGAGAAACATGCCAAGAGGATGGCGCATCAAACTAACTCTGACCAGAACCATCTTCCATCTGAAAACTGATGTCCTCCTTGTGGGAGAAGATGTGGATCGAGAATAGGGTTCCACAGCCACCTAAGGACCCACTGCCAATGGATACCACATCTGGAAGACAACCATCCTTGAGCTATGAGGGATTGCCTAAGTAAGTACATATCAGCCATGAATAAACTTGGGCCCTCCAGGTGTTTTGCACTTCAACTCCCACAATTC